TTATGCGATGGCTATGTAGATTGTTTAGATGACGACGACGAACAATTTTGTCAGAAAAATCGATCATTTGAAATGGACTTTGGCATTTGCGACGATGAATATATATCGTTCGGTTCTGATGCTGAAAAGTTCTTATGTGATATTACAAGAGAACACAAAGAAAGAATAAAATATTTTAGAATAAATGGATTCAATCAATCATCTGAAAATGAAAATCACGAAATTGATGTAATACATACAGATCTCCTTGATAATCCTCGTTGTCATCGTGGTCTTGATTTACGCGTCTGGTTAAATAAATCATCAAATCTTAATTCTACAAGTACATGTCTTTGTCCACCAACTTATTACGGTAATCAATGTCAATATCAAAATCAACGCTTAAGTTTATCAATAAGATTTTACGATTCAGTTCAATCAATACAAACCTTGTTTGCAATCTTAATTATACTAATTGATAATACAAATCAACGAATGATTCATTCATATGAACAATTGACTTATTTACCTAAACGAGATTGTAAAGTTAAATTTAATGTTTATTTAGTTTATTCAACTCGACCAAAAGATATGAACAAAAATTATTCAATACATATTGATATTCATGAAAAAATCTCTCTCAAATATCGAGGAAGTTTTCTTTATCCTGTCGAATTTTTATTTTTACCTGTTCATCGTTTAGCATTTATTATAAATATTCCATCAGAAGATGATTATTCTTGTTCAAATAAGAAATGTCTTCATGGAAAATGTCTAAACTATTTTAATACAAAAGAAACATTTTGTCAGTGTGAGCAAGGATGGTCTGGGCAATATTGTGATATTCCACACAATAATTGTAATTGTTCATCCAATTCAATATGTATTGGTCGGGCGAGTGATAATCAATCAATATGTATTTGCCGAGAATATTATTTTGGTTCAAAATGTTACCTTCGAAATCGAATATGTGATAATTCCCCATGTCGAAATAATGGTTTATGTATTCCACATGATGATTTTATGATAACGAAGAGCCAAGAATATTTGTGTATATGTCCCAAAGGTTTCAGTGGAAGTCGATGTGAATTAATTAGTACTCAAGTTGATCTTATATTTGATAAAAATATTTATTTATCTCATTCAATTTTTATTCATTTCATAAAAATTGTTCCATTTGATCAAACTGCAGCGATTATACCAGAAACTTCACCAGAAAGATCAACAACTTTACAAACCATATCTCAAGCAACAAATTCTATTCGAATTTATTGGTCACGACCATTTCATCTAATGTTTATTGAAACATTAGATAAAATATATTATTTAACTGTTATTCAACCAGTTCATAATTATTCAACAATAGTGAAAAGAATTAACTCTTTACATTATTGTCCATCGATCAATAAATTAGAAAATGAAACATTTACTCAACTTCACGTTATTCGTCGTATAAAATATTATCATTTAATTTGCCAAAAACATTCACCAAATTTATTATGTTTTCATGATGATATTCATATTTGCTTATGTTACGATCATCTGGGAAAACGTTTGGCAAATTGTTTTAATTTTGATCATAAAATGAAATTTGATTGTTTTGGAAAAAATTATTGTGAACATAATGGCCAATGTTTTCAAGATTCACCCACTTGTCCTACACGATCGATTTGTGTTTGTCCTTTATGTTATTATGGAACTCGATGTCAATTTACAACAAGTGAATTTGGTTTATCACTTGATGCTATTTTAGCTTATCATGTTATTCCCGATGCAAATATTTCTCATCAAACATCAATTATCAAAACAAGTTTATCATTAACAATTTTATTTATGATTTTTGGATTAATTAATGGTATTCTTTCATTAATTACATTTAAAAATGAAAGTATACGTGAAGTTGGTTGTGGAATTTATTTATTAGGTTCATCAATAACAACAATATTAACAATGATTATGTTTGGATTAAAATATTTTACTTATCTTTCAACACAAATCTCAACACCATCCAATAAATCTTTTCTAACATTTCAATGTTATTCATTCGATTTTCTTCTTCGAATTTGTCTTAATATGGATCAATGGTTAAATGCATGTGTAGCAATGGAGAGAGCAGTAACTATTATTAAAGGTGTTCAATTTGATAAGAAGAAAAGTAAAGAATTAGCTAAAAAAGTTTTGATTATTCTTTTAATTTTAAATATTTTAACATTAATACATGATCCAATTTATCGACAGTTATATCAAGAAGAAAATGATAATGATGATAATAAAACAAGAATTTGGTGTATCGTCAATTATTCTTTAAAATTACAAATTTATAATCGAATTATTAATACATTTCATTTTTTCGTACCATTTCTGATTAATCTTATTTCATCAGTTACTTTAATAGTAAAAGAATCTGATCAAAAACGTCGTCTTCAAAAAAATCAACCGTATAAAAATGTGTTATATAGACAAATTCGAGAACATCAAAATTTATTAATTGCACCTGTTGTTTTATTTCTTCTTGCATTACCACGATTAATTCTTACTTATGTATCCGAATGTATGAGTTCAACAAAAGATTCGTGGTTATTTCTTTTTGGATATTTTATTTCATTTATTCCATCAATGATTGTCTTTATTATCTTTGTTTTACCATCAGATTTTTATAGAAAAGAATATCAGAAAACAATTGTACAATATAAAAATCAAATTCAACAACGTTTTTGTCGAACAACATAACAAAGGTAAATTGGAGTTGCGTTCTTCACTTCTGTTTAAAAATATTATGTATTAAGTTATTATTTTAGGTTATGAATACGATGGAAAATTCACTCAAGATAGACATTTGTTTGATAAACAAGAAGAAACAAACTATATTTGAATATGTCATAGAATTTTGCTTATTTTTGTTTTTGCTACGCTTGATAATCTATTTAGATTCGCAAAATAAATGATAAAGCAAGAGAAAAATCTAGAAGGATGTAATGACCTCATTCTTACTAAAGGGTGTGGGTGTAGGACTGTGTTTGGGTGTGAGATGGAAACAAAACCCACACCCACACTCATACCCTCAAGATGACGATTAAAGAAGCAATGCTTATATCATATCTGAATATTTTCAATTCGTATAAAGATATAGTTTTTGTAATGCATTTGACATGAGCGCATATTGCACAAAGTATCACTAAGAATGATTGAATAAACTTTTCTAATTCGAATGGTGTCAAAGTTACAATTGATAATAGAGCTCTAGAGTACGTAAATTAATCATTTTTGATGCTAACAAACGTAATTGACATAAATTCAATGAAGTCATTTTATGTCATGAAACAATAGTTCGTAAGTAAGAGAGATATTTATCGTTCATTTCGAAATTTCTACAATCCATATGAATCTTATTGATGCATGTCGATCGATTGCTCAAGATCGGTACTGTAGATGACCATCGACTTTGTCTAGATTCAGAAAAATATCGTTTATCGTAAAAAAGGAATGTCTACAAACTCGCATGCAATGTTTTCGTTTCGGTATTCTTTTACAAATGAAGACCTTTTAATTGTCAAAACGTATCTAATAAAATGACACTTGTGTTCGATAGTGATATCATAATTTCTACATGCCATCTAACCACCAACGTATATGAACATTCACTTGAATTTTATCATGCATCAGATTTTTAGTTAGAATATAGAATGACGAGATACCTCCATATCATGAGTCGAAGGAAAAAATAGAATCTTTTCTGAATATTCTAATAATAATAAGACACCTACATACGAAGAATCTCAACGCAAGATTTCGTTAGTTATTTTTTTCTAGTACATACTAAATACATGACGAGATACTAGAAATAACATGAGCTCTTATCATTGAACAAAATATCATATCGAAAGTTACATATCACTTATTTGTTTCTTATACTTCCAGTAGTTCTTTGTTATTTTTAAGAATAAACTCCATTTTGTTTGTCTTACTGAATAACTTAAACTTTAAGTAGGAAAATCTCGTTTTATACTAGTTTTTTTGGATGAGAACAATCTAACTAAATGGAAAGAAAAGAAAATAATCGCTAACATGGAAAATACATTAGATGTACTTATCAAAAGAAAATGAAGAAGAATATTATAATCAAAATAACTATTAAATTTTGTTTCAACACTCTGATATTTTATATCATTGAATGAGATTAGAGAATAATAGTCAAATTATATTAAAAAAATGAAGAAGTATATGATTGTTCATTCTAAGGATGTTTCATTGCTTACTATCCATTGTTTCCAACAAAATCAAAAGAAAACAATAATCAAAAGTTCTTTTTAATTTTCTAGGATATAGTGACTTTTTTTGTTTTGGTAATGACAATAATAAAAAACTTGTTTTTTTTTGAATCATCATATCTGTTCATAACATTCATAGAAAAAGAACAATGAAAAAGAAAGAAGCTAATTGCAATCATGATTGTTTAGCCAATGGTGAGATCAAAATAACTCCATCACCGCGTACAAATAACATTGGAATTTGACGTTTTGTTGGCTAGAAAATAAAATAAAACAAATAAATCATATAATAATGTTTATTGAAATAATTTACTCGATAAATTTGTTCAAATGTTTCTTCATCAATTTCAATTGTTGTTATTGTTTCTTCAACTTCACCTAAAACCATATTTAAATGTTGATCAAAAGCCTAGAAAATCAAATAATTAATTCTAATAATATAAATCATATTTAAATTTTACATGAAGACGACCACGTAATTCTCGTTCATTACGCATTTTCACACAGACTTTTTCATCAAGACTCAATCGAACAAGATCAAGTGGTTCTTCAACCGATGTTGTTGTTGTTGTAGTTGCCTATTTTTATTTAAAAAAAACGAAAACTTAACTAAAAATCATTTTAAAACTAAATTTACTTGTTCATTTTCATCAGCCATTTTTATTGATTAATATATAAATTGAAATTTCAGTGAAATGATGAATATAATATGTCATTATTAGCGACATCTTTCAAAAAATTTCAAATATAAATAGTTTAACTTTTTCTATGAAATATTTTTAATTTAAATGAAATTTTTCTTGAAATAAAATCTAATAAAAGAATTTCTTGGAATAATTAAATAAAATTATGTTAATTGAATGTATTTTTTGATTGGTATGAAAAAAAGAAAGAATTGATAGAGGAGAGGTTAGAGAGAGGACAGATAAATGACATTAGAGCAAAATGGCGATAGACATACGGATTAGTATTGCTTTGAGTGGTGTATAAAAAGGAAGAAAGAAACGATTTTAAATTGATTCCATTGATTGATTTTTTTTTATTACAAATAATTATTTTGATAAATAATGAAATCAATTTTAATTCAATGGATTTTATTCTTATGGTAGTGCAGATCTTTTTTTTTGTTATTGATTATTGAATAAATTATTTTCGCTTTTGATTTAGATTGATATTATTTTTTCGAATGGTGCCTGTACATGGTATTGACGAAACATAAAAAAGAATTATCCTGAGATCTTTTATTATTTCCATATACTCGTGGCTAAAATCCGAAATCGGTTTGTTAAATTTATTTTTCGTTTTCTTTAAATTAATCATATAATTATTAAATTAGATCAAAAGTGGATCCAACTGGATTCCCACCTAGTCTTGTTGACTCACCTGGTGCTGGTGGAGTTTGGCAAGGTCCACCGCTTCCCGGTTCACAACCGCCATCACAAATTCAACAACCACCAAGTCATTTAATTCATCCACCACCACCTCATCATCATCATCCTGGTGTTAATACCGGACGTATACCGATTATGTCACCACGTGATATACATTTTCCGTATGATCTTTCATTGATAGAATATTTTTAATATTTCTTTTTTTCATTTTTTATTAGTCCACCACATATGCGATCGTTTAGGTAAGGAAAATTCAATTCTTTTTTGTAAATTAAATTATTTGTTCTTTGAATAATTTAGACCATCGTTGCCTCCACCTCCACCTCCTTCACCTGAATATCGTATGCATGATTTAAATAAACGTTTATCAATGAGACCAGAAGTAAAATAGAAATATTATTCCATTCTCAATAAATTCAATATAATTTTTATTTAGGAATGCGATAGTCAATTTTGGGATGCATTTGTTAATGAATTTTTTGAAGAAGATGCTACATTAACAATAGCAATTTGTTTAGAAGATGGACCAAAACGTTTTAGTATGTTAAAATTCTTATATAAAATTTCATTTATCCTTTTTTTGTAACAATAAAAATTTATAGGTATAGGTCGTGTTTTAATTCCACGCTTCTTTCGAACATTATTTGATGGTGGTGTGAATGAAGTTTATTTTCAATTAAAACAAACAAAAGAAATATTTCATAATCCAACATTATCACTTGATTGTGAGCAAGCATCAATGATAACTTGTTTTGGAAAACCACCACATATTAAAGTATGAATAAAATTATAGAACAAAATAGTTTTTATAAAGAAAAATTTTATTTATTTTTTTTAAGGTTTGTACGGATGGACATTTAATACTTGAATATACATTTGATGATTTAATGCGTATAAAATCTTGGCATTTTGCAATAAAACAATTTCGAGAATTAATACCAAGAAGTATTGTTGCTATACCGGTATGTATTTTATTCCTAAATCAATGATAAGAAAAAATTTTTGAGAATCGAAATTTAATGCTTTTTTTGACATGTGTGTATATTCAAGTTTTTTTTCTTGGAGTTACAATTGCTCAATTATTAGAATAAGTGAAAAATGTTATTTTTCATAAATAGTAGTTAGAGATAGAATAGTTATATACACGAAGATAATGGTCAAATGGTTTTCTTCAAAAAGATACTAGACAGTACTATATAGGGACTATAATACTTTAAGTTTAAAAAATAATTCATACTTGGTGTTTTAGTCAAAAATTTTAGTGATAGTATCGCCAGTGTGGACATTGATTAGATCATGTCTAAAACTATAAAGTAAAATAAATTCTTTTGAGTCTTTCTTCCATTAAAAATGATTTTTTATTTAATCGCACTAAATAAGATATCGACTAATTTATACTATTTAGATCTAGACATGTGATAATCTATCATTTAATAACTGATTGATGTCAGTCCATTTAGTTAATATAAAATTCTCATTAACTTTTAAGAGACTATTGTTTGAAGATGTCTGAAGATGTGAGGAACATGAAAATGGAGAATACATATTATACCATTGCACTATAATCTTCACTCTTCACATACAGTATCATTAGTATTATCAAATATTTCTCTTGGCATCTTTTTTTATGAATTAATTTTTCGTTTTCTCAATATACAAATTTTCTCTCTTTGATATTGAAAATTTAATTCAATAATTATCTGTTTTAGGCTGATAATCCAGGTTATCTTGATCAGTTATCAAAAAATTTAACACGTAGTGGATTAACATCTGTTATGTTAAATTTTCTCAGGGTAAGAAAAATGTTTTTCTATCATTCATATATTTTATTTTATTTTTAATTCTTAAAGTTATGTGAAATTCTTGAACCAATGCAAGAATTGATGTCACGACATAAAACGACAACATTTTCACCGCGTGATTGTTTAAAAACCATTTTACATCAACGTTGGTCAAAAACATGTTCAGGTACAAAACTAATTCTTTTTTTTGATTTAATCTATAATCAAAGAACAAAACTTTTTTTCTATAAACAAAAAACCAACAAAAAACTTTTTTAAACTTTATTCAGAAATTCCTCTAAGTCCTTCATTTCAAACAACATTACCATGTCAAACAGTTCTAGCCACAGGTATTCAAAACAAAAAAAAATATATACACGCTTTCACTTAATTACTTCGCTCAACACAGAATCAACCTTTATTATTTCTATGAATCTTTGTTCAATAAATTAAAGTTTATTTTATTTCATATTTTTAGACACTCGACCACCACCTAAACCACGACGGAAAAGAAAAGCAACAGCAGCTACTAATGCGACTACACCAGGAAATAATAATAATAATAATAATCCAAATAATATTCCGACAAGTAAAGATACAAATATAAATCATTGTACAACTCCAACACCAACTAAAAAACGTTCACCGGCAAGTACAGTTTATTCTCAACCAACACAACAAGGAGCAATGACGCCAACTATGAATAGTATGCCTGGGGTAAGAATAGAATATTTTCTTTATTTGAGAAAAAAAAATCATTAATAAAATTATTATAGGATGTAATGATTGTTGGTGAACCATCATTGATGGGTGG